GGACCACATGGCACGGGCAGAAAATGGCCGCGGACCACGTGGCACGGGCGGAAAATGGCTCGTACCCCGAGGCGGAGGTCGCAAAACGAGGTAAAATTTTGGGGCCAGAGCTGGTCCTAACCCGAAAAATTCGCAAGCAGAGGCGTTCGTATCCCGAGGTACCACTGTAATTAACCAATTTTGGTACAAGGGCCAATTTTGGTACATTCACAAGGACCAAGAAAAGCATTCACAGTTTGTATACTTACATTTTTTAAGTTCTTTTTCTGAAAGGAGGATGTTGAGGTATGCAAATGTCTTGATAGGTTTCCCTGTTCAAGTATAACAATCTGATTATTCCCAAAAACAATGATATTTGCATTTTTAAAATAAATAAATAATCATTGCCAAAAGGAAAGCAGAAATAAGAAATTAACAGCATTGAATGTAAGTTTCCTTAGTAGTATACCTGATCAACAGAGCTTATTCTTGATTTTGCCATTACAAAACAGATGAAATTATTTTTAAGCAATTTTAAAGTATTACCATGTTCATCCTTCCGGCTAATGATTTCCGTATCTGTAACATTTCCAAACTTGCTAAACCTTTCACACAGTTCATCTTCAGAAACTGAATGGCCAAGTCCTCCAATGTATAGTCGCCTTACGAGTGAGATTTGTTCCATATTCAAAAATTCAACAAATGTCCAAGGTTACCATTGTCCTTTCAACTACAACTTTTCTGTAAAATGACAAATGCATAACAAAAAAATATTTTGAACAATGTTAAGGATTGCTGTGATACAAAATACCATCAGGACAGTCCAGTTCATAGTTTTATAAGATCCCCACTTTAATGTTTGTTGTTATGATGATTCTCTAACCCTTAGCTGTCTGTAAACCATGAGAACAGAAGCTCTGTATTATAAACAACTTATTATTGATGACCTAGCCCTGTTCTATCACTTTTTCACATAACAATTACCCATAATTCAGTGCTACATATATGAACAGAAAGAACCTTGAACAAAATGCCAGGCTTGTCCACTGCTCCTATGTGTGACCAGGAAGAGAAAAAACCCCAACATTCAATATTGCTTGAATGCAACAGATTTCCAGTTTACTGTTATGAATGAACCCAAATTCTGGTTAAACGAGCTAAAACACCACCAAAAACATAGGCTTTGCCTTAGCAATTCACTACAGTAATGTTGTTAACACAAATCCCTGACTTGCAATAGTGGCAAGCTAGGGACCTGCTTCCAGTCATAAGAGGGTAGGAGACAAGAAATACCAGCTCCTCTCCTGCTATTGCCTGTATTGGATGACTAAATCATTGTTCAGCACAGCCCACAAATATCCCTCTGAGCCTTCAGGATGCTTCAAATGGACTGTTTCCAGCTAAATATATATAGGTTTTGGAACTCAAGTTAAAATAATGGGAAGAAAACATGGAAGAGGAGAAGTATACACAAAGGATAGCCACAATTCAAGCTAAGGAGAGGGAGGGTGGGACGTTAAAAGAACAGTTTTTGATGATCATTTGCAGAAAGCGGGGGGAAAAAGCATCCTAGTAATGAAGCAGAATTCTAGAGAGAGTAATTAGCTCAACCCATTCAGAACTTCAACAGTTTAACATTTTAGCAGAAGTCATCCAGCCTGCTCTGAGGCGTATCTTATCAAGAGAGCCCTTCAAGTTTTGGTATCATCATACAGGACACACCAAGAGTTTCTGAGGCTCTACTGAGCCTCAACCAGACAGACGAGAGCAGCCCCCACAGCTGCTGATGCTGCTTTTATAAGCTGCAATGGCCCCACTCAGGCCATTTAAAAGCCCACCTTTTAAATTTAAAAGTCTGCAAATATCTACGTTGCATCGTATCGGGCTGCAAAGATCCGGACGACTCTGAGGTGGTAGCACAGCAAAGAAATAGGGCATGCTCCCGCTGCCGCTATCTAGAGGTCGCCCGGATTTTTGCTTTTCAGATCTGGTAATGTTGCCTTGCATTTGCTCGGTGGAGCGACGTCTGAACACTACGATGGGAATCGGGCATCAGCCCGCATTGTAACTCGCCACTAAACGCATCGGACTTACTGGCGAGAAGAAAGCCACGTCCAGCCACCGTTAAGCGACCCCGCGCTTCGAGATACGCCACCTCCGAACGATTCGCGACCCAGCGCGGCGCCCAGCGTGGGCACAACTGTTGCTCGTGGTTTACTTTTCCCCCTCACCCCGCTTCCGCCATGCTGGCTGGGGAATTCTGGGAGTTGAAGTCCACCTATATTAAAGTTTCCAAGGTCGAGAAACATTGGCTTAACGTATCGTAGTGGACGTTTCTATTAGTCTTGGATTTCTCCTTAAAAAGACACAAGACTTTTTGCGTCTTTGAACTGCGGATTGACAGCGGCGATTAAGTTCAGTCAGGCGCGATACGCTTCCCCGCCCAAGTCTAACCGCATGGGTCTCTGAGCGGCTTTGTATTTTTAAGCGGAAGTTCAGATGATAAATCACTCTTCAACATTTTTGAAGCTCTATGTTCTCCGTTTCCTAGTCGGATGCGTTTTTTGAGGCACAGTTGGATCGAACTATCGGATGAAAATACAGCGGGAGAGATGGAGTGGAGGAAGGGGTTTGTAGGCACATTCTTCTCCGCTGCAGAAATCTTTTGCTGCGGAATAGTATGAAATATAACTTTAAGTGACCCAGGAAGGGGGATACCTACAACTGGTTCTATGTCGAAGCCTCTCTTGTCTTTCTCCGTCTCCACTTCTCCCCCCTGTGTTCTGGACAATGGTGGCGCCCGAGACGCCTTTCTTTGGCGGCTCATTCGAAGCGACGCAGGCGCAGAGCGCGGCTGGGTGATTCTCGGGTACTTTGGTCGGCGGGTTTCGGAGAGGCGGAGGACGCGCGACCGGCGGCGTCTAGTGCGGGCAAGGTAGTTTCTGAGCATATTCCGCTGCGGATTGTTTTGCTTCCAGGACTTTCTTCACACGGTACAGAGATCTCTCGGGATGTTTCCCCCTTCCTCGCTTTTTTCCCTCAGCCCCAAACTCCCAACTGTTTCTTAGGGAGGATCCACAGACCTAGGTGACAGATTACTGGCTTCACAACTCGGTCTGTTTTTGAAAGTCCGTCTCCTGTCAAAACTGGCAGTCGTGGAGTTGGAAGCTGCTGTCCAGCAAACACAGACCCGCCGTATTGAATTAGGGTTGTAATACTCTGGATCATATAGCTGTAAATATGTATGTATGTATGTACGTACGTATATATGCCGGTAAAATTTTTAGGCTTCTGAAAATGAATGTGAGCAGACAAATACAACATGCATGTCCTAAATTTGCTTCAGATACGCCAACACCATCTTTAGTTGTATTTTATTTGAATCACCTTTTTGCTTCTGACAACTTACTTAGGTGCATGAAGTATTACACAGTTCATATTTTAATACCCAAATGAATGATTTGCTAAGATCTTTAGAGTGATGTTGTTATAATTTTAGTGATATTTTCAGGATAGCTTATCACAACATCTTCCAAGAAAGCAAATAATAATGCTTCTTTATTTTCAGTGGACTAATGTATACAAATTGTAATTTTTAAGTTAGAAAAGTGCTCTAGGAGGGGGAAAAAACCCTGCCTAACTGCTGTATTTATATTATTTGTTTTTTCTCTCTAGGAAGATTAGTGTGTGAGAAATGAATAGCAATGAACTTCAGGCTTGTGAAGATGAAATTAAATCTTTGGAAGAAGAAATTAAAACGTTAACAGAAGAATATGAACACAGTCAACATCAATCAATGGCATACACTGATGCAGAAATAATGGAGACTATGTAGGTAATTTTTGTTTATTTATTTATTTAAATAATTTATATGGCTACCCATCTCGCAGCAGTGTCTTTGGGCAGCGTACAAAGATTAAAACCCAACAATTAAAACGATAACCCATGGTGCCCCACGTTAAGTGACACCTTCCAATCATAAAAACACATCATCAACAATATGACTAGCCTAACCTCCTGACCCAAATGCCTGAGGAAACAGCAAGGTCTTCAGAGCCTTACAAAAAAGGCCAATTGGATCAGTACCATCTGGATCTCTGGGGGGAATGCTGTTCCACAAGGGCGGTGCTACCACATATTTGGCTTGCAATCACAAAAAGGTAGGCCAGCAATTGGAGTGTTCCATCCCCAAAGGCTAAGGAGTCTTCTTAAATCTGTCCTCGAGAACATTAAATATTAAAGCATAAGTGGCATAAGAGTTCTGTGATATTTAGGTACAGTAAGTTGACCAAAATACCTAATGATTTGATACTACTTAGTTGGTTTCCTGAATCACTATGGGAGAAAATTCATAGTGCACACATTTTTATTCAACTTCAAGCTCTCTGAGAACCAATATTTAGAGGGACCAGATCTTATGGGTTAAAACAGCTTTAGTAAGAATTTTAATAGAGCATTCCCTTGTCTCAACCTTAATTAAATCCTCAGAGAGCCACGTTTGGTACACCTGCATTAATATCCTCAAAAATTTGGATTGAGTAATCTCATGTGGTAAAATTGATAGATGAATTAATTATATTCCACATAGGAATTTTGCAAGACCTTTGGCCTCAAGTATCTCAATTAGAACTCTCAAAAATATATAAAGAGAATAATTGTTGCACTCTTCAGGACATTGCAAGAGCTGTAAGATACATGGGTGCTCCATCTACCTGTTATAGGTAGATGACATCACTTGTTCAGTTCTAGACCCATCAGTGTTCTAAATTTCTTTGGCCTTCTCACACAGGTAAAAAGACTGTGGAAAAATAAAATCGCTTGTTCATAAACCTAATTTCTGTGCCAATGTATTAGAGTTTTCTCATTTAGCTCTAGCTCATAAAATATTTCTTTACTGTAGGAAATTACTTAGAAAAGAGCCTGAAGAAGAACTGAAACAATCTGAATCTTCTCCAGATCAGGAAACTCAACTCAACTTGTTAGAAGCTGATCTCTCATTTCTAATGAAACTTACAGGCATTTTCTTTACACATTATTCCCGGAAACTTGCAGGAAAAAGTAGGTATTTTAACAATTATTATGTTATTTATATACTTTTTTCACACTTCATACATTGTTCTGGTTCAACACTGTATTTCTAATATATCTCAAATATTGCTATTGCTGTATTTTAATAATTAATATTAAAATTATTAGCTACTATTCACTAGCTAAGACAATTCAAATTTGGTTATTTCTGTCAACCAAATAGGATCAAACTGGCTTATCAAAGTATTAGCTCAGAAATCATGACAATTACTACATATCTACTTGCATTTCATAGTCACAAAATAGGACTAAAATTGTCTGAAGTTGATTAGGACATTCTCTGAATTTAAAAAAAAAAACCTTCATTATATCAAAAGTATCCCCAAAACTATTATAATATTCAAGAATAGCTTGACAAATTCTAGAATGCTCACATATTAGTGAAAGCTGTCAATAGTTATTTGTCCCAAATAGTTAAAGAGATATTAGCCTTGTTTTCATGTAATGCTAAGTCATGTTTCAGTGTCATGAGACAAGGTATAGCAAGAGACACCTTTTTGATGCCATGATTATGAGGAGGATAGAAATATTCACTTCTACTTTAGATGAACCACAGTTTGTTATGGTTTCCAAATCTAAACAATCTCAACTATGGTTTGTTGAAAGCTGACTTGTTTTAATAAACCCTAATTAAATAACTATAATTCTGGATTCAGATAACATACTAATCTAAAACTGATGCAGTTGTTTCTAATCTGTGGGGAAGGGGAAATGCATATAAATGAAGCAGAAATTTGTGCTTTTTTAATTGAGGAAGTTTAATTTTAATTGATGTAGGTAGATATTGCTGTTTTTATTAATTTGATTAATCCTTTTAAAAAGAGTTTTAGTATATATATTTCATTTAGCTACAATTTCCATATGTTAAAAAAGCATTATATAAAGAGCTATTCCTTTTTTGTTACTTTAAACTTAATTTAGGACAGGAAGGCCTGGCGCAATATGGTTCATGGGGTCACGAAGAGTCGGACATGACTTAACGACTAAACAACAACAACAAACTTAATTTTGTTTTGTTTTTGTTTTTTGCATAGGCTTCAGTTCTTTAGGAGATATTAGTTAGATTTGCTTCATTCTCTGCCCCATTCTTAATAGTCATCAACTTCTTTCATATACTTTTTTCTTTTATTTTAAGATCACATCTCTTATGGGGAAGCCAAATTCTCCTCCATATTCCAATTGTGATTGTTATACAGAAAGTTAGATAGATAAGGCTCTTGTGCAGATTTTAACAAGTTCATGACAGTAAGGGAGTCTCTTAGATAGTTAGGCCCCAGTTGTTTTAATGGTCCATAAAGGTAAATATTGTCTAAAGTGTAGCTTAACTCCTGGTGGTTATAGCAGCACATTTTTTGGTGACAGAATGGAAATGCTTTGTCATTGCCTCCTGGAAAATGTTTTCAACTTCCCAGTCCAGCCTATAATCCTGAGATTTCCTATCCAAGTACTAAGCAGGTCTGATCTAGCTTAGTCCTTTTAGAGATCAGCCAAGGTTGGCTTACTGTTGCCTCTGCCTGGAAAGCAATTGGCAGCAAGGTCATATGATACCAGTACCTTGCACTGGTTAGCAGCATTATTGCTATGTTGTACACTAGTGTAACATCCTGATTCTTGTTCATGGTTACTGAAGGCATTGCAGTAATATAAACAAAGTACGGGTGTTTATTTCCAAATCCAAAAGCTTGCAACTGGTGTACTAAATATAGCTGTGGGAACACATTATCTTTGCCGCAGCTGCCACTTGTGAATTCATAAAGGGTTCAAGAAACTCTCCAGACCATGATCATTTTGTTTCAGAGAGAATGCATCCTATCCAAAACAGGCTGAAGCACAGCCCCCAAGTCCAGTTTTCTGTTTACCAGCAGTATCTCTTTCCTTTCTGAATTTATTTTCAATGTGTTTTCCATCATCCAGCCCATTATCGAACTTTAATAATATTTGACACACCTCAGTTATCATTTGGAAGATTCCAGCTTTACGCAATGGAGTCTTCGTGGTGGAGAGCAGGAATGCAGAGAGTGTAAGCAAGCACTTGTCATCAGTGGACACTATGAGGACTAGAGATCAAAGAAATCCAAGTCCCTTCTTCTGAGAGAGCAGCAATGCAGGAGAGCATAAAAAGTTTGAGACATCCTCAGATATAAATTCTGAACTATGTTTCTGGTCATTGCCAACTAATTTGGATTGAGGTGGTACATAAATTTCATTCATAAATAATAAATATGGTTCCAAGGAAACTTACATGATTTCCTGGAATACCAGAAAGGTATAGCTATCTGTGTTCATCCTTATCTTAAAGGGTGCCAAACACAACAGTTTCTAAGTGAGCAGGAGCAGTAGTGCAGATTTGTTCTCAACTGTTCTTTGCACTTTCTTGCTCTCCCATTCAGAAGAGTCCACTAAATTAGGTTGGAATTTTCTAGCCACAAACTAATCCATACCAATATTCCAGGTTACCAATTGTTTTATTGGAGTTGGATAAGAAGGAGTAATAGAGTTGGTTGTCATCCCATTCCAAACCTCTGGAAGACATAACCGCTCAGAGTAGCTGAGAGTTGGGCAGCATATAAATTTTATATTATTATTATACTTGAACAGTTTCATTAGATATTGAACAGCACAGGGAACAAGGTGAAATATTGAGATACCATGGATTGAACAGTAGTCTTCCAGCCCCACCCAAGCCTGAGAAGAACAATTAAACCTCCCCAAACCCCAGCCTTGACAGATGATCCAGAATGATAACATGGTCAGTGGTATCAAAAACTGCAAAGAGGCAGGCTGGGTTGCATTCCCCTAACCAGTTTCATCCACCAAGGTGATGAAAGCAAGTTCTGTACCATACTTCAGCCAAAAGTCCAATTGAAATGGGTGCAGTTAATCAGTATTACTGAAATGGCTATGGAGTTTTGAGGCCACCACCAGCTTAATCACCTTTCCCAGAAAACAGAATATTTAAAGCCAAGCTATGTTTGTATCTTTTTTGTCAGGCAGACATACAGTTAGTCCCCTACTTACGAACAGGTTACAGCGTAAACAGCGTAAACTAACCCTTTCTGGAAACTCCGACTCCAATGCAAACCTCAGTTGCAAACGGAAGGCGGGAGAAGGTGGGAAAGGGTTAGTTTGCAGCGTGCAGGGTCCAACTTCCAGTCTGACTTCCAGTTCTGACTTCCGGGTCCATCTTGTTCGTATTGGTGAAAGTTCGCAACATGAAAGTTCACAAGTAGGGGACTATCTGTATTTGGACTTTTGAGAGCACAGTTGCCAAAGGGAACTAACCTATTCATAAAATAGCCAACGGTAGGTGTGGCCAGTTACATTTACAGAAGGCAAATCTGTGAGGCTGCTCTCTTCCTATAGCCACCCAAGGTATTCTCTACCAGTCTTTTTGTCTTTTTTTCAGCAAGCAGGCATGTTTCCAAACAAAGTAATGGAGTCGAGCTATGTGTCATTTTCATTGTCTAAAATGCCAGAGGCACTTTATAAAATAAAGTTGCTGGAGGCTATAGTTTGCAGCTGGCTAATTTCCCATTTTTTTAATTAAAAGAATCTTTTTTTTAAAAAAAAGTCAGATATAGCAAACTTGGAGGAAGCCCGTCCAGCCATACTGGTGCCCATAAGCATCACACTGCCTATTTGTATTTAAGACAGACTGCTGCATTAATGAACTGGCTATGTATCTTATATTAAATATGGTTAGCTTTTAAATTTTATGTATTAATAGGGATTACATATGACAGAAGAATTAAACAGCTAATGACTGTAATGTATATATTTTATTATCTCTTTATTATAGATGGATCTAAAACTATTCAAAGTTATAGGCTGTCAGGAAATTGTCAGCCAATCTCATTTCAGTTGGAATTTAAACTCATGGAAGAAAGTCAGGTAATGGAATATGTTTTTAAAATAAGCTAGAGTATTTTACTAAGCTTCAAAAACTAGCATAAACAAATTGAATTTGTGAGATTTCTTTTGAAAGCATCCATGGTGGTTGTCAGTGTAATTTTGGTACATTTATTTATTTTTCTGAAAAGCCTAATAATTTCATGCTGATGAATATGTATTAAAATATAACTTTTCTGTACTGATAAGTATAAGTTTTGTGTGTAACAGAAACATGTTACTTTATTTCAAACATTGTATTTTAATTATATTTGAGAATTAATCCTACATATACCGGGGGGGCAAAAAACCCCGGAATTTATTTATAAAAAATCATGTATTTATTTTTACATGTTCAAACTTTAGTCACCTTCAAAGTACTCTCTGTTTGACACAATACACCTATCGAGATGTTTTTCCACTGCTCAAAACAGGTTTTGAACTCATTGATTTTGATGCCTTTTAGTGCTTCTGCTGTTGTTTCTTTCACCTGCTCCACATTGGCAAGATGTTTCCCTTTGAGGACTATTTTCATCCGGGGAAACAAGAAAAAGTCGCACAGGGCAAGATCGGGTGAATAGGGAGGGTGGGGAATAAGGGTCATGCCGTTTTTGGTCAAAAACTGCTGAACACTCAGCGCGATGTATGCAGGTGCGTTGTCATGGTGGAAGAACCAGTCACCTGTTTGCCACAACTCAGGACGTTTCTTCCGCAAATCGCGATGCAACCTTCTCAAAACTTCCAGATAAAAACTTTCGTTGACCATTTCACCCAGAGGAACAAATTCCAAGGGCACAATCCCTCTCACATCAAAGAAACAGGTGATCATTGTTTTCACGTTCGATTTCACTTGTGCTTTTTTGGGTTGTGGGGATGTGGCAGTTTTCCATTGGCTGGATTGCTGTTTCGTTTCCGGGTTGTAGCACCAAGATTCATCTCTGGTTATGACTTTTGAAAAAAAATCAGGCTCAGCCTCCAACTGCTCCTTCAAAGCACGGCATGCAGTCAAGTGATTGTCTCTTTGTTCAGGCGTGAGAAAGCAGGGCACGAATCACCCATCATGAAATAGGCAAACGCGTTGAAAGAGTCTCTAAAAAAAACTCACTGAAGCCAAACGCAGCCCTTCACAACAACTCAGTTGGTACACTGAGGCAGACGGGTTCCTAGAACACTCACCTAGCTGAGGAAGCCTGTACTACAAGGGGCCCGCCCTCCAGAAGATAATTCTGTTTTTTGGGGGGGGGGTCCCCCCTCATATAGGATTAATATAAGACAAATCTTTATACAGTTAAAGACACAACATAGTAGGATAAAGAGATGAAGAAGAAAGAGGAAAATAAGGCGATTAATTTCCTAGTTTTTTTAACTATAATTTTTAGAACAGTCATCTTTACTGGAAAAAGTTAAAGGAGAAGAAATGGAGACAAAGGGATGTCTGCAGAGGATCCTGAAGTTCTGCACAAGAATGCATTCTGATAAAATTAAATAGATACAATTTTGCCAAAATTTAGAACTTGAATGTATTCTTCTGTTTGTTTGTTTTGGAAACACACACAAAAATAAGTTCTGATAATCCTTTCTTCAGTTAGCAATGCAACATTATGCTTGATTTCTCAGAAACAAGTTAAATTGATAAACAAGCAAGGGCTAAACCATTGTAAAGAAATCTAAATTGCCAGTAGGTGGCATTATTTTTAATCTATGACAGCATAAAATTAATATTAAATTATACATCCTATGAATTTGTCTTTTTGATGAAGAATTGTTAATTTTCATAAAAATATACATTATCTTCTAAAAATGGGTTCTATAAATTGGTAATGGCTCTTACATTACAATTTTTCTTCATAAGTGTCAAATCATTTATAATTCCTTTATTGAAAAGTCTCACAAGGCATAGACAGCTTTTTTTTTGGTTATAGTAAGTTTATGAAATATTAATATTTCTCACATCATAAGCTATCTCGGCCATTATGATTATGGTAATGGTAATCTGTGGTATGCAACACTTGTATGGAAATAGAATTTTATCACTTACAATAAGATACCAAGAGCAGGCATGCTTCTCTTAAAGTAACCTCCACCCCCACAACTTAACAAACATGATGTGTGTTATTACTGACAATGATTGTGCTCAAATTGATTATTTATAAATCTTGTGGTCTAAAAGGAACTTGCTGAAGTATTTTCAGATTTTGTGTTCAAAAGTTTCAGAATACAAAACAGCTTATGCAATTTCAAACAGTGGTGAAAGAGAAGAGCCAGTTTTTCTTCTGTACTTGGGAAACAGACTTCAGAAATAATATTTGGAAGTGCCTTGACAACTAGGTGCTTTTTGATAATTTACATTAAACAGAATAGGCCTTATTCCTGGATAAGGAATGTTGGTTCTTGCTAATAGTGAGAAAGATGAGGTTCAGAAGCTGCGTATTGCTCCTGGAGGAAGCCAAGTTCCACTATTTATGTTAAGTTGTTGGTATGATTAAGAATTCATTTTGTCTCTTTTATAATGTATGAAATGGCTGAAGGAGCAAGCATTTATATTATGGAAGTGCATGGATTCTTTTGCTCCATTTTTGGATGTATGCCTTAGTGCTGATTATTCTCCCTATCAGTCCCTTGGTAGAAGTTGTTTACTGAGTATATTGCTTGCTAGCATTTTTCAAGTGCGCACTAAAGGAAAATGCTGTGTATGTGTGTGTGTGTATTGCATATATACATTAGTTTGGGTTCTGAAGATATCTAATTTATCACTTCTGAAAATATCTTAAATAATAAGCCCTTGTTTCCAAAAACATTCCCAAATCTAATTTTTCAAGGGGATTTGTCTATCTGAATGTTGTTATGGGATCATATCCTTCAGAACCAGCTGTGTACATATAACTATTGAGCTGAAGATCACCTTCATGCAGTATTCACATTCCTGTAGCATTGGGGTTTATTACTTTCTGTCTCCCCATAGCATATGCACGTGTATCAGGACTATGCAGTGTTTCACATCTGAAGGGGAAAAGATGCTTCAGAATACCCAAGAGGCTCATATAATATCTGTTGGCAACTTCTTAAGGCAGCTGTGTGTCTTAGGATTGCGCAGCTGCCTTCCATAGTGGCAGCATGATCCCAAGAAAAAATGTGTTTGGTTTAAGGAGTTGCCAATAGAAATTGTTTGCACACTTGTACTCCAACACCCATTTTCCTTTGAATCTGAAGCACTGCACAGCTCCAGTATGTACCCAGAGTACATAAACATCTATCAAAAGTCTTGGTATTTTGAAATGTTTTGTATTTCTTTTTGTTTTGTTGCCGTTTTTTTTCTAAAGGATCCATTTGGTTTCACTGCTTTAATTTTTAAAATCTTTGGAATGGAATAGAAGTATATTATAAAAGCTCTGAACTGCTTTGAAGATACCTATATAAAACGAATTAAATTGTCCTTTCTTGGTTATTTGATCCTTCAGTCATAAGATGACATCTGGATATAAACTATTATATTCAAATATCTATAGTTTATCTAAAATATTGTACCATTGGTAAGTTTTGCTTCTCTGAGCACACAGGAACACTTTCACACAGCAGAAGTTTACTGTGAGAATAAAAATATCATCTTTGCTTTTGGTTTAGTATGCTGTAAATTCAGTCATTGTGGTTCTAAAAGATAGTTTATTTTGATTATTTATAGCTTAGTACAAGGATTTTGAACCTAAGACATGTCCTGCAAAGGTGATCCTGTGTATGGAGAGCAAATGACACTCACTAGGCTTAAGTTTTTCCTTTACCAAACAACAAGTAAACCGTGTGGACAAGAGGAGTTTTCTGACAGAGTCCACAATACCTTCTTAATAAGATTGATTTTAGCAACAATGATCCTGAGTCAGTTGCCTTCTCTTGATGTTGTCTGGTAATTAGAAGCATGACAATACAAGTATGGCAATGACTACTAAACTTGCTGGATTCATAAATAGATTAAAATATTTTTAAATCTAAATATTAAATGCAATTCTTTGCAAATGCCATATTCTGTCATATTTTTAATGAAATAATAAAATATGACCCTGTTTGAATTTAATACATATTCCATAAAAATAAACTCTGGAAAATTAAACATGAGACTATGCAAAATATCTAAATATGGATTCCAATATATTCCATTATAAATTCACAATGAACTCTTAATAATAAAAAAAAATTTAAAAAAGAAGAAAATACTATGGCAACCAACAATGAACTCTTAATAAAATGAACTCTTAATAAAATGAACTCTTAATAATAAAAAAAAATTTAAAAAAAAAGAAAATGCAATGGCAACCAGCCCCCCCCCCCCGCAAAACATGGTCATATGCCTACAATCATAGCACTAGTGCATTCCTTTCAATGTGCATTCCTCATTGTGTGCCTGCTTACTCTCTTGTAATCCCTTCATCTCCAATGAATGTAAATGCAAACATTAATTCTCTTCTTGCTAATTATCTCAGTGCCGAAGTGAGCATTCCAAAGGACAGGGAAGTGGGGAAAAAAGAGCTATAAGATTTGTTCTTTTACCCAGCTTTCTCTTGAGTTGAGTTCCTGAAACCTTCCCAGGTTGTATCCTGATGCTGTAAAGCAGGGTTCCTCAACCTTAGCAACTTTAAGATGGGTGGACTTCAACTCCCAGAATTCCCCAGCCAGCCATACAGCAAGGTTGAGGAACCCTGCTGTAAAGCAAGGGAAAGTGAAGTAAAATCGTAAGTGCAGTCACGGTCACATGATTTTCATGTAACAACCGCTTCATTTAATGACTAAGGCACCAGTCCCAATTGCAGTTGCTAAACGAGGACACACAAATGCTTTCACAGACAGGATCTGAAATATTTGCAGGCTGAATCTCTGGCCTTGACAACAGCATCTAATGGCACTACATAACAATCTTGCACAGTTAATGCCTTTAATTATCCCAATACTGGTATTCATGGACCCTAACCCTTTTATACATTACATACTTTAAGGACACCAGCAAGTCAGCTAATTGTGCATTCTTTAACACCTGCTTTTGGGAGTGTGAGTTTTAATGTGCCTTCAGGTGCTTGAAAAATGTGTATTTTTGGCTTATTGAGTTGGAATTCATTTAGTAAATAAAGATTTAATAAACAATGACTTAACATCCATATGCGTACTAGTTCTGCATGTAAAGCTAGATTTAATATGCAATTTGTGGTTTCTTTTCTCTCCCCCCCCCCCAATATTGGGTCCATATGAAATATGAAGATGTCCATCTAGTCCATTCTAGTATCTGGCGCTCCTTAAATGCACTACCTGTCTATAATTGGAGATATCGGGTACCACATAGAATATAAGCTGTCTATGAAACAATCATTTGGATTTATTACTGGGAACTGGGGAATCAGTTTATCCCTTCTACACATTTTTAAAAGTTTGCTTTGTAAAGATCTTAGATCAAAGGAATGCACAAACCTGAGTATACATCCAGAAGCTCTTTGCTGCTATGTCATAATCAACCTGATCGTACTTCACCAATCGACAGTTGTTTTGGGGAGCATTTAAATCTCAAATTCATTTGAAGTTTCTCTTAATATTTGCTATTAAATATTAAGTAAGTTGTGACTAGTTGACAGATTTATATATAAATTTGATTTGCTCTTCACTTTTTACTAATAATTAAACTTTTTTTTCCAGATGAACAGAAATGTTTCAGCTATAGTAACTGACCTTAACATTATAATAGCATGTGACACGTATTGTGATTTAAGCAAGCTTGTTTCAAGGTAAGATTATTGAACATGTTGCTACAGGGGTGGGTAGGTGGGGAATAATCATAAGGGAAATATATTATTAGGAGCAACACAAATTCAAATTTCTTGCATGAACCCAAAAGCTGTGGCAGTTATTTATTTATTTAAAAGATTTATAAAGCTAGGACTCTGGGCAGCATACAAAAAAAAATTACAATGCAAAAAACCAAAAACCAACAGAATCGGAAACACCTACTTGACCTTTTCAGGAATATACTGCCTGCAATCATCCTCCTCCTCCTCCTCCTCCTCCTCCTCCTCCTTTTTTTGAGACAACCACTGAACTTTCATCCATTCAGTGTCAGCTAAGATTTCTTCATAGTGGTCCATGATGAGAAGCCAGCTGAAGAGTAGATTCACAGTTGGCTCATACCAGTCTTCTTTAGGCATTTATCATGCCATCTACTTATCTCTTTTGTTCCTTAAATTCTTCATTATTCCCCTCTTCTTCCTTTCCTTCAGCTTTTAACAGGAGTTAAAGATTAAGCAAATCTTACCTAGCAGGACTGTGTTAACAAGGTCTTTCATGGTAGGGTTATACTGTATATTTGTAACTGAAATCATATTTCTCTGTGATGCCTTCTTCTCTCCTGCCTTCTCCCTAAGGTGTTGCAAACACACTTTCTTACCCTATTTTTGCTTTAATACTCAAGCATTTGGTTTTTCTTTTGTTAAATTTTTGGTACAGTGGCTTCACACTGATCTTACAATGCTCTGGAACACTTGTTCTTGCAGTAATTTGGAAGGAAAAGGTGCCACATCTCCAAAGCACTTTTAATACAGTGGTACCTCGGGTCACGAACGCTTCTGTTCACGACCAATTCGGGTCACGAACAGCACCGTTCGCAAAATTTTGCTTCCGTTCGCGAA